CCCCTCGACGCCGCAAGTGGCGCGCGAAGGGTGGCCCCTGAACGCGGCCTCTGTATCCGCGGCGCGCTCGCAGGGCGCGGCGGGCGCGGCGCATCCTCGACGCCGCAGGGGGGGCGCGTGGCGGGCGGTTCCTCGGCGCGGCCCCTATCCGCAACACGCTCGCAGCGCGCGGCGGGAGTCGCGCTTCCTCGACGGCGCAGGGGGCTCTCAGAGGGCGGCCCCTCGGCGCGGTTTCCATCCGCGACGCGCTCGCAGGGCGCGGCAGCAGTGGCGCTTCGTCGACTGCCGAGGTGGCGCGCAGAGGGTGGTCCCTCTGCGCGGCTGCTATCCGCGGCACGCCCGCAGGGCGCGGCAGGCGCGGCACTTTCTCGACGCCAGAGAAGGCGCCCGCGACGCGTTTGCAGGGCGTGGCAGGAGCGGCACTTCCTCGACGCCGCCGGGGGCGCGCAGTGGATGGCCCTTCGCCGCGGCCTCTACTCGCGACGCGCTCGCAGGTCGCAGCAGGAGTGGCACTTCGACGTCTCAGGGGCTGCACAGTGGGCGGCCCTTTGGCGCGGCATCAATCCGCGACGCGCTTGCAGAGCGCGGAAGGCGCGGCGCTTTCGGCGCCGCAGGGGGCGCGCAGGGGGAGGTCCTTCAGCGCGGCCTCTGTCCGCGACGCGTTTGCGGATGAGGATGGCGCGGGGGGCGGGGGGGGGGGCGGGCGGCGGGGGGCGGGGCGCCAGCCGGGGCTTGCTAGTGTCCAGCGTCTCGAATGAGTGCCTGTGAACGCTCGTGGGTTTTCCTTCTCCGTCACCATGCCCCCCTCTTCTCGTCCGCGAAATAATTCCCGCGGCGTTTCGACGCGCTGCGGGCGGCGGTTGCGGGCAGCATTTGACCCCCGAGTTTCGGCCGCGGTGGCAGGGCGACTGCCCTGATGATCGCAGGGCGCGGTCGAGTCCTTACCGCGGGAAGTCTTCGGGCGCGCCGCGGGCCACCCCCTCCCGGGCGCGCCGTGCCCCGCGGGGGAACTGTCGGAAACCGGGCGTCGGTCCGAGACCGCCTGCGCTGCGTGCGACTGGAAACGTATCGCCCAGTTGAAGCGTCCGAAACATGCCAAGAGGCGACGGGCGCAAGCGACGTGACTTTGCTGCGACGTTTGCAGAGGCATGAACGCCCATGGCGTCGGATGCTGCTCGCGTGTCGCAAGTTGATCTGCGGCGGGATGCAATGAATCATCTGTTCGTCCGCTGCCTCGGCGGCGGGCGCGCCAGCTCGCCTGGCGGCCCGGGGGCGGATTTGTTCGATTGCGCACCTCTCGAAGGCGAACTCGCCAGTTTGCCCGAAGGCGGGCTCGTAAGTTTGAGGCCCGCGGGCCTCCAGTAGCCGAGGGGCCGCCTGCCGCGGCGTTTATCCGCGGGCAGGTCCCGCAGCGGCAGCGAAGACCAGTTCGCAGTCATTTGCTCGCCCCCCTCCCTCTGGCGCGCCGTTTCTGCGACTTTCCGACGCGCGTCGCGTGGCGATGGGGTGGCTGAGTTTGGGCCCCGAGTTTCGGCTGCGTTCGCAGGGCAGCTGTCCTCGTCAGCAACGCGCGCGGCGAAGCCTTCTTTGAGTGAGCTCTTGGGGGTCTGGCGACAATTTCCCGGGGCGCGTCGCGGCTGCCGCCCGGCGCTGGCCGTCGCCGCCCGTCGTCGCGCAACCGCTGGTCGGGGCTGGTCGTTTCCGTTGCCAGTGTCGCGCGTTTGCGTGACGTGGGGCCCGCGCGCCATGCATGTTTTCCCTGCGGCGACGCGCGCGCCTTCGCTCGCGTGCCCGCGCGCGCCCGCGTCTTCGTGGCGCGCGCGCGCTTGGACATGATCGCTCATCATTTTCCAAGAAGCAGGAACAAATCCCCACCATGCTTGCTGAGACCTGGCAGCCTGATGTATTCATATCGCTTGGGCTTTTGCCAGACACGCCTCGGCGCCAAAGCTGTCGACCGAAACGAGCTGTAATTAGGGGGGGCTCATCGCAAAGCGACTGACTCCCAATCAACCCCAACAAGTTGACGGAGGCGAACGCCATATCGACGACGCCTACATCGAGTCAGCCCTCTGCGTTTTTGGAAGCGCCTATGTGGCCGAAAGATGGGCTAGGATTATCGGACCAGGTGTTCCCCCAGCTGTCGTTGAAGGAAAAGGAGAACAACAACAATAATAATAATAATACTGATAGTGATAATAATATCAATAATAGGAGGAATAATAATAACAAGAAGAAGGGACAGGGAGGAGGAGGAGGAAGAGGAGGAGGAGGAGGAGGAGGAAAAGGAGCAGGAGGAGGAGGAGGAGGAGTAGGAGGAGGATATGAAGGAGTATGACCCCTCTTGGAAGCCTCTTGGTGCACTTTTGGGGTCTCCTGGGAGCGCTCTGGGAGCCTTTTGGGAGCCTCTTCGGAGCCTGCTTGTGCCTCTTGGGAGCCTTTAGGGGCTTGTTCGGGGCCGTCTTGACGTTCCTGTCCCGTCTGACGCCGTCGGAAGCCGTCTTGGATGCCTCTCTGAACAGACTTGGGGCCATCTTGGGGCGCTTCACGGTCGTCTTGGAGGCCATCTTGGGCCTCTTGGACGCCTCTTGGGCTGTATTGAGGCTCTCTTGGGGCCGTCTTGAAGGTTTCTTGGGCTGTCATGGGGGTTATCTTGGAGGCCTTTGGGGTCGCCTTCGGGCGATCGTTGGGGCCTCCGGGGCCGTCTCGGGCCGTCGGAAGGCCGAAAAGAAGCAGATGTCAGAGCCCTTCAAAAACTTGACTGACATCAGTGATTTTGGCCTCCTCTGGCTTTCCTGGAGGACCTATTGGAGGCCTCTGAAGCCGTCTTGGAGGCTTCATGGAGGCCTCTCGGGCCGTCCAGGATCGTCGTGGAGGCTTTTTCGGCGGACTTGAAAGCATAGTGGACGTTCTTGGGCCGTCTGGGAGGCCATTTGGGACCATCTTGGGCGAACTTGGAGGCCATCGTTGCAGTCTTGGAGGCCATCTTGGGCCCATCTGGAGCAGCAAAATCCTTCCAGCCGGCTCCGGGCAAGCGATCCGGGTGGCTTGCGCAATTGACCGAAGCCTCAGGGTAGTTCTAAAAGAACCAACGACGACTTGAAGTCTAGCACGCTGGGCAGCCCTGTGGCAAAACCACAGTGGGCGGAGGAAGACAATGGTAGGGGCATCTTGGGAGCCTCTAAGGGCACTCTTGGGGCCTCCTGGGAGCTTCCTGGGGGCCTCTTGGAGGCATCTTGAGGGCCTCCTTGGGCCTCCTGGAGGCCTTGGGGTGTTTTTCGGGGAGGCCTCCTTGGCCGTCTTAGGGCATTCTTGGCCCGTCTGACGCCGTCGGAAGCCCTCTTGGCGTACTCCAGGGCCGTCTTGGAGGCACATGCGCCCCAAGATAGTTCACAACAATTCCGAGCAACGCAAATCAATGCAAGGCAAAGCATTGCTTGGCATTATTTGGCTTTGCTTCGCGGTGCTTGGCATGAGTGGGCATTGCTTGGCATTGTTTGGCATTGCATGGTATTGCTCGGCATTGTTTTGCATTGTCGTGACATTAGTTTGGCATTAGTTTGGCATTCCTTGGCATTGCTTCGGATTTGCTGCTATTGCTTAGAATCGTTGCTTCGTTGTGCTTGGCGTTGCGTGGCAGGGGCTTGGTATCGATGTGTGTTGCTTGGTTTTGCTTGACGCTGCTTGGGGTTGATTGACATTGGTTGGCGTTGCTTGGCATTGATTGGCTTTGCCTGGCACTGATTAAAGCATTGCTTGGCATCGCTTGGCATGGCGTTGCATTGTCTGTCATCGCCTGGCGTGGCATCGCTCACAATCGTTGCGTGGTAGTGGTTGGCATTTCTTTGCATAGCCTGGCATGGTTTTTTATTGATTGTCATTGCTTGGTATTGCCTTGCACTGCTTGACGTAAATGGGCATTGCGTGGCATTGCTTGGCATTGGCTTCGCACTCGCTTTGCACTGGCTTGGCATTGCTTGGCATCGCTTTGAAGCGTCGATTGGCCATGCTTGATGCTGCATGACCTTGTTTGGCGTTGCTTGGCGTTGCTTGGCGTTGCTTTGCGTTGCTTTGCGTTGCTTTGCATTTCTTGGTCATTGCTCGGCGTTGCTTGGCCTTGATTGGCGTTGCTTGGCAGTGCTTGGCATTACTTGGCAGTGTTTTGGACTTGATTGGGCGTTGCTTGACACTGCTTGGCATTGGTTGGCAAACCTGGGCAACCCCGGGCAGTCACGGACAGCCCCGAGAAACCCCGAGCAACCCAAGGCAGTGCCAACGGGGAGGGCCCCGCACCCACTGGCCTCATTAGGGGGAAAGGGGAAATGAGGGGAAGGTGAGGAGTGATCGGAGGGTGGATGGGTAGTGCGTGGGGGGGAAGCGACAGGGAGTCGGGCCGGACTGGAGAAGGGGAAGAGAACGTGAGATGACAAGGCGTAGGTGGATTCCGGTGAGGGAGGGGAGGGGGAGAATGAGGATGGAGGGGCGATGGAGGAGGGAGGGACAGAATAGACGAGAGAGACGGGCAATGGAGGAATGGGGGAGGGATGCGGTCGAGGGACGAGGAGGAGGAGGAGGAGGAGGAGGAGCAGGAGGAGGACGACGACGAATTCATTTCTGACAAAGGAAGACGCAGAGGACGAGGAGGTCCAGAGCAGAGGGGAGACGACCACGATGAGGACGAGGAGGATCGGGACCGGGCGGATAAGGTTGACGAGGACGAGGGCGAGGGGCTGGACGAGATGAACGAGGAGGAGGAAGAGGAGGAGGAGGGGAGATACGACGACGAGCAGGACGGGGAGAAGGAGAAGAAGGATCGGGAGGAGGACGACGAGGAGGGTAACGAGGAAGAAGAGCAGGCCGAGGACGAGGACGACTAGCAGAAGGTGTTTGCGAGGACGATGTCAAGGACAACGGGGAGGACGAGGAGGAACAGGCCCAGCGGGGTGGGGGGGGAGTACACCCTGCCCCAGTCCCCGCTCTTGCCCGCGCCTGGGGGCGAGGTGGAACACCACGCCACGCTGTGGAGCACCAACGGCGGCGGCAAGCTGAGGGTGCACGAGGTCTTGAGGGGGGGGGGGAGGGCGCCGAGGGGCAGAATGCGGCAAGCGCCTGAGAGACGTGTGCTTGTCTACAGGAGCGCGGAGGAGGAGGAGGCGGATGAGGAGGAGCCACAAGAAGCAGGGTGGAGGAGGAGGAGGAGGAGCGATGTCGAGGAAGGAGGACACATAAGAAGTAATGAGGCGGAGGAGGAGGATGAGGATCAAGTAGGAAAGACACCGAGGATGATGAGGATGAGGGTGAGGAGGAGGAGGAGGAGGAGGAGGACGCGGAGCGGGGCGGAAGGGTGCTGGTGAGGAGAAGGGAGGCAACGCGAGGATGACGATGATGATATTGATGATGATGCTGATGATGATGATGACGATAATGATGCTGATGATAATGATGCTGATGATGATGATGATGATGATGATGATGATGATGATGGTGGTGGTGGTGGTGGCGACGAAGATGATGATGATGATGCTGCTGCTGATGATGATGATAATGATGACCGCTGGAGAGAGCAGCACAGAAACTACTGGACGAGTACGAGAAGAAGTGACACCCCCACGGCTCAGCGCACACCAGAGGTTGATGCTACTCACCCACAGCGAAAGATGGTTGCAATTGGTGGAGCAGGGCATCGTGACGCTCGAAGCGGCCTCGTGGATGGCGGCACAATCAAAGGTTACAGTACCTGTCCGCCGACAAATTCACACCCGGAAGAAGTAATCCGTAAGGGTTTCGCCCCCTGCCGCCGGCCCCCTCTCTCGGAGAATGGGCCATGGAAGAGCTAAGTCGTGAAGCAGTATCGAAACTTCATGCGAAGCCGATTCGCAATCAGCAAAACCAACTGATCACAAGAGGGGTTACCACACCTGGCGATTGGTAAGACGTGTATGGTTTACGGGTTTGCTTACCACACCTTGCGATTAAAGGGCCGAGGGGGTTCTCGCAGTTTGGGTTACCACGCCTTGCGATGGATGTGCGCGAAGGGTGGCACCGAATTTCAGAAATGTGGCAAATCTCTTGTGTTTTTGGATCCTGACCCCACGGATCTGCGTAAGGGGTGGCGCCGAATTTCAGAAATGTTGCAAATCATTTATGTTTTTGGACCCTGACCCCGCGGATCTGCGTGAGGGGTGGCACCGAATTTCAGAAATGTTGCACATCTCCTGTGTTTTTGGACCCTCACCCCGCGGATCTGCGTGAGGGGTGGCACCGAATTTCAGAAATGTGGCAAATCTCTTGTGTTTTTGGACCCTGACCCCGCGGATCTGCGTGAGGGGTGGCACCGAATTTCAGAAATGCTGCAAATCTCATGTGGTTTTGGACCCTGACCCCGCGGATCTGCGTGAGGGGTGGCACCGAATTTCAGGAATGTTGCAAATCCACTGTGTTTTTTGACCCTGACCCCGCGGATCTGCGTGAGGGGTGGCACCGAATTTTAGAAATGTGGCAAATCCCACGTGATTTTGGACCCAGACCCCGCGGATCTGCGTGAGGGGTGTCGATTTCGAGCCCCCCCCAGCAATTCAGACAACGCGCCCAGGAGACGCTAAAAGTCTTGTTTGGGCCTCCCCCCCCCTCGCGCGGTCAATCAATTAGTTACAGTAACCAGCAAGAAGTCAACTAGTTACATTAACCAGCAAGAAGCAGAACTGTAACACTGGAAACTAGAAACTACAACTGGTACAGGAAACTGCGAATCACGGGCCTCGCAGCCTGGTGGCCCCACAAGGGGGCCGGCGGATTTTATTGTGATGAGCTGCTCTCCCTTTTTGGTCCAGACTGACGCCGTGGAAGGCTTTGGCGATACCCAGTATGCGGATGTTTGGACAGCGGCAGAGTGGACTCCTTTTGCCTTATTCAAGCCATGGAGAAGTTTATCTCTGGGCGATGGTCCAACCTCTCAGTACGGCAATGGAGTGGTTTGTTCAATCTCATGGGCTTCAGTACTGGGGGGGGGGCGTCTCTCGTCGTTTCAGTTGAGTCTGCGCAAGCAGCATATTTGGCGCACGACGGTGTCGTGACACTTGGCCACTGCGAGAAGTGCCCCCGTCTTCTTTCAACTTGGTGGCTTCAGTACTGGGGGGGCGCCTCTCGTCGTTTCAGTGGAGTCTGCGAAAGCAGCATTTCTGGCGCACGATGGTGTCGTGATGCTTGGCCACTGCGAGAGGTGCCCCCATCTTCTTTCAACTTGGTGGATACAGTATTGGGGGCCTCTCGTCGTCTCAGTGGAGTCTGCGAAAGCATCGATGCTGGCGCACGACGGTGTCGTGACGCTTGGCCACTGCGAGAGGCCCCCCCCATCTTATTTCAAAATTGTCGTTCCGAGCAGCTATGCACCATTGGAGGCATTGGTGAGATCTGCTATGGGGTCCCGATCTTCACTCCCGACGGCCTGTGCGCCTAGGCGGGGGCGCCCGAGAAAGAGAGAGAGAGAGAGAGAGAGAGATGAAGGATGGCCCCTCGTCGGAATTCGTAATTCGATCAGACCTGTCAGTTGTTGTGGAGCACCCTTCTCCCTCGCGCCACGATTGATTGCTGGTCTAATTCATGGTCCTCTCAGATCGGCGGCGCGTCGTGGCTTTCGGGTCCCCCACCAACGAATCGCCACGAATCGCCTGTGGGCCCCCACCCCCAGCGTTCGGGGCCAGCTGATCCGCCTGTAGGTCCTCAGGGCGAAGTGGCACAAGCTGGAACTCAAAGGTTTTCTCGGCCTTTGACGCCACCCAGAGACCCGTGATGATGATGACGGCGACGACGACGACTATGTTGATGACGATGTTGTTGGTGGTGATCATGTTGATCATGAATAATGCTGGTGGTGAAGATGGTGGGTCATGATGACGTGGTGGAGGAGTAGAGAGTCGAAGGATGAGGGCAACAAGCGAGCAGGAGGAGCAGCAGCAAGGAGGAGGAGGAATAGCGAGCATGGCGTGACGATGAGGAGGAGGAAGAAGGAGAGTATGACATGGGCGAAGAAGCAGGAGGCGGAGAAGGAGGAGTGCGTAGAAAGGATGGAAAAGGTAAGACTACCGGGAAATACGCAGCACCACGCAGCCGCGGATCAGGGTGAGGGGGCGTCTGCGTCGTCGTCAGTCAGCGAAGCTCTGAAGAATGCCTCCGCAGGCGCCGACTGTTTTACCGATTACATAACGAGCCCGCCGCAGGGCCGCAGGCGCAAACAAAGCAATGGGTGGGTCGCGGGTTGGTCGCGAATGTGTCGCGGGGTGGGTCGCGTGTAGGTCGCGGGTATTTCGCTGGATGGGTCGCGGGTTGGTGTGGGTCCCGGATGGGTCTCGGGGTCGTTGTTGCCACTACGATCGCTTTCAGACCTTTACTTCCAAAGCGAATCCTCCTTTGATTCAGGCTATTGCGATTATTAAAATCGAAACAGCAACAAGTCGTAGTACGACTACTACCTCTATTACTCGTGGCAATTAGTGCGACTGCTGCTACCGGAACCACTGGTAATTCTATTACTCGTACACCTACAAGTAAACCCAAACCAACGACGACTGGTACGACTGCCACTACTTGGTTTGCCTCTTTCGTTTGGAAATCATGATAGAACTACCTTCATGGTTCATGGTAGTAGTAGTAGTAGTAGTAGTAGTAGTAGTAGTAGTAGTAGTAGTAGTAGTAGTAGTAGTAGTAGTAGTTGTAGTAGTAGTAGTAGTAGTAGTAGTAGTAGTAGTAGTAGTATAGTAGTAGTAGTAGTAGTAGTAGTAGTAGTAGTAGTAGTAGTAGTAGTAGTAGTAGTAGTAGTAGTAGTAGTAGTAGTAGTAGTAGTAGTAGTAGTAGTAGTAGTAGTAGTAGTAGTAGTAGTAGTAGTAGTAGTAGTAGTAGTAGTAGTAGTAGTAGTAGTAGTAGTAGTAGTAGTAGTAGTAGTAGTAGTAGTAGTAGTAGTAGTAGTAGTAGTAGTAGTAGTAGTAGTAGTAGTAGTAGTAGTAGTACGTAGTAGTAGTAGTAGTAGTAGTAGTAGTAGTAGTAGTAGTAGTAGTTAGTAGTAGTAGTAGTTAGTAGTCGTAGTAGTAGGTAGTAGTAGTAGTAGTAGTTGTAGTAGTTAGTAGTAGTAGTAGTAGTAGTAGTAGTAGTAGTAGTAGTAGTAGTAGTAGTAGTAGTAGTAGTAGTAGTATAGTAGTAGTAGTAGTAGTAGTAGTATAGTAGTAGTAGTAGTAGTAGTAGTAGTAGTAGTAGTAGTAGTAGTAGTAGTAGTAGTAGTAGTCGTAGTAGTAGTAGCAGTAGTAGTAGTAGTAGTAGTGTAGTAGTAGTAGTAGTAGTAGTAGTAGTAGTAGTAGTAGTAGTAGTAGTAGTAGTAGTAGTAGTAGTAGTAGTAGTAGTAGTAGTAGTAGTAGTAGTAGTAGTAGTAGTAGTAGTAGTCGTAGTAGTAGTAGTAGTAGTAGTAGTAGTAGTAGTAGTAGTACTAGTAGTAGTCGTAGTAGTTGTAGTAGTAGTAGTAGTAGTAGTAGTAGTAGTCGTCGTAGTCGTAGTCGTCGTAGTCGTAGTCGTAGGAGTAGGAGCAGCAGCAGCAGCAGCAGCAGCAGCAGCAGCAGCAGCAGTAGTCGCAGCGATCGTGGTAGTATACCACGAGCTCGATTGTTATAGCATCGCTTCGGCCGGTAGTGTTGCGATTTGTTTCGCATCTCTGTCCAGTACTGAGCTTTGCATTGGCTTGTCTTACATTGCATGGTAATTTGTTTTCGTCGCGTGGCGCAGCATGGCGTGCGACCTCTTTCAATCGACTCCCCCGCGTCTTCGCGCAACGTGGGTGGCAATGTCTTTAGACCGCCATGCCGCCGCTTTCCAGGCAAGCAATCTTGGTTTCGTGAATTATGGGGTAAATTCGTGTCTCACCTTTCATTGTTTTCGGTTTCTTGCATACACAGGCTTCTCCTGGCCAGGGCATCGCGCCATTGATATGGTGGCGGATTGAAACGGCACGCGCGGACAACTACCCTCATTCCGCTTCCCGCCCCTGGTCACGGCTGGATTCGCAGCGAAAGCCCGATCA